ACCTTTTCTAAGACTTTATATTATACATAGTTATTTATGTTTAACATCTTATTATTATAAAAAAAGAAATACTAAATATGAAAAATTATATATTATTTACTTGAATATAATGAGTGTCCCAACCAAACTAATAACATCCAACATATGATATATGATAAAATTAATTATATGATCGTCATACTTTTTGAAAAAATATAGATATATTTCTAATAAACATGTAAGATCCGCATTTAAATTTGTATTTGGATATGGGATGAAAAATGAATATGTACAAATAAAAAAGTACCAAGAACCTACATAAAATGAGATTCTTTATAAACTTTAAAATATTTTGTAGTTAAGCAAATATTAACAAACAAAATCATCAATTAAGTTGAACTTATCGAATATAAAATATAATTTATGATATCATTGACCATATTTACCCGTTGTATTTAAAGTTATCATTGACCATATTTTTATGAATTAAGGTTTACAAAATATCTTTTTCAAAATAACAATTTTTTTTAATTTGAATTTGACTTTTTCATCCAACCGCCATTTTCCACAAGAATAAAAATAGTATTTTGGAAAATTTTAGACGTGAAAATCAAATAAAATTAATTTAATAGTAATCAATTAATTTAATATTATTCAAAATTGTTTAATTCGGTCAACCCGATCTTAGTGCACATTTAATTGAAACAATCGCTTACAAAAAAAAAGGTAATCGCTTACAAAAAAAGGAAGTGAAATCTATCTATATAATATAAATCGGATTTGGAAAAAAAAAGGAAATTAAATTTCATAATTAATTAATTTAAATTGATGTTATCCGATTTATATCAACTCCCTTCCAAAAAAAAAAGAAAATATCCGATTCCTACCAAATCGATTAAAAAAAAAGGATTATGATATACGTCCAAATAAATTACAATTGAAATGTAGGCGGGATTATGAAAAAAAAATAAAAAAAACTTTACCGAATGTTTGAAAAAAAAAATCGGATTAAAAAAAATTAAAAGGAAAAAATTCAAAACGTGAAATTAAAATTAAAAACGTGAATTAAAATTAAAAAAATTAAAAATACAAAATTTACCAAATCTCAACCCATCAAAAAAAAAGGAAAATCGAGTGAAATAAAACGTGAAAAAAAAGGAAAAGCGAGTGAATTAAAAATGTACCAAATCGGATTTTAAAAAAATGGTAACAAATCTCATCTCATCCTAAAGAAAAGGAATTTTAACAAATTTAGCAAAAAAACAACCAAATCTTATCCTAAAATAAAACAATCCGATTTCCATAAATCACATCCAAAATCAAATTAAGTTAGGCGGGATAAATGAAAAAAATTCAAAAAGAGTTTCCAAAACAGGTAATTTTCGAAAAATTTGAGAGGGAAAAAATGATGTTTAAGCGGGAAATGAAATATTTATTCAAATATTTATTCAAACATTTTTCCTTATCCGTATTATATAGTAATAGATAATGGCGATAAGTGTCAAATTCCATGTCATAGTCAATTTAATTAATTTTTTATTTTATTTGGTTAGTTAATCAAATCTTAATTCCTAACTTAAACAGTTAATTAATTGGTTACGTAATATATATTGTTGGTCAATTAAAGAATGTCACATGTATATTTTGAAGGCTCATTAAAGAATGTTATATGTCATTTTCTTGGAGAGTAAAATTTATAATTATTTATTTTAATAATTACTAAAGAGATAAATAAGTGAAAATTCATGGACCAATTAAATTGAAGTCTTCTTTTCTAAGACCCACTCTCCTAATTATTTCTTTAAATAATTATTAATAAATAAATATTGAAAATTATGGACCAATCAAATTGAAATTTTTTTTCCAAGACTCCCTCTCTTAACACCTATAAATAGGGGCTCACCCTAAGGTCAAAAATCACAATTCAAGTTCCAAGTTCAAGAAGTGTTCTTGAAGATCCAAAGGCGTTCTTGAAGATTAGAAGGAAGATTCAAACATGTTCTTGAAAGATCCAAGGCGTTCTTGAAGATTCCAAGGAAGATTCAAGCGCGTTCAAGCTCAAGACCGACGTTCAATCCGAAAACAAGTTGTCAAACCTCTGAGTTACGTTATTAAAGCCAAGACCGACGTAGAAAAGATCGAAGGTCAACTTTGCGGCGAAGACCAAGGACTCGTGTTCTTCACGTTCTTGGAAAATCACGACGTTCAATTCGAGATCAAGCTGTCAAGCCCTCGAAGAAACCACTTTTAGAACACCGACTCAAGCTACTCCTTATGCACTTGTCTATGGCGTGGAAGCAGTTCCTTGAGCAGCAAATTCCATAATTGAGGATAGCATTGGAAGAAGGATTGACGGAAGAAGAAAATGCATGTCTTCGCACGAATATATATATATTCATGTTAGTCAAGTGTTGTATAATTATAAAAGTTCTATTAGTATTAGGTGAAAGTTTAGACGGCTTCGAAATACAGAGATTAGCACATACTAAATTAACACATAAGATTATTTAAAATTAAAAGTTGACATTGAGGCTTACAAAATTGGCGGGCTATGAGACATTGACACATATGATTACTAAAATTCAATAATTGACATTGAGGCGCGAATAAATTTGGATCTATACATAGGGTGAGATTTGTATACTTTGAAGTGTGATGTTAATTCAATTTATTTATTTTCATTGATTAAAATTGAAAACTTGGTTTATTAAATTTGGAAAGGAGAGTGTT